GGGCGCAGTCGCTGGCGCTCAGGTCAGTTTCAGCCACGTGGTGACGTCATCCTCGGGCGGGAACCAAGACGGCTGCTTCCTCCTGGCAACGCGTCCTGAGCAACCGCGCAGCCGTCCTCCATGAGCGTCTCCGTAAGCAAGGAACCCGTGGGCCAGCAGCGCCGCCTCTGGTGGTGATGGGCAGCACCGCCCATGCCCACCGCTCAGCCAATCCCTGGCCGGAATGAGACGGTTTAGGAGGTTCGGTCCAATCAGGACCTGCCCTCTGGGAATGGTGGGCGGGGCGGGGGATGTATCGGGTGTGGGAGGGAGATGATGCAAACCGTTCAAAGGGCTTGGCTGTGAACCAACAGGTGGTGATTTCGATTTCTGCCCAGAGGCGCACGGTAGCAAGGCCTGGCAACCTACTGCAGAAAAGTCAGCCATCGACATTCTGCTGTGACAAATGCGGGACCCTGTCGGTGGGCGTGAACTTCTAAACAAGCGCTGCTTGTTTTCGATTCTTGTGAATTCGCCAAGGAATCTGTCTTCCTATAAGAAGACTGGCGTAAAAAATAAAATAAAATAAAATAAGAAGACTGGCGTGGAGTTGATTTCCACTCATGGCGACCCTATAGGACAGGGTAGAACTGCCCCTGGGGGTTTCTGAGACGATAACTATAGGAGTAAAAAGCTTCAATTTAAAAAAAAAAATATTTTTAAAGCCTCAGCTTTCTCCCCTAGAGCAGCTGATGGCTTCCAACCGCTGACCTTGCGGGAAGCCGGCCAACACGTAACCACTATGCCAGCCAGAGCTGCTCGCATATGACCATGCATATATATGAACATAAATGAAAATCTAGTTAAGAGTCATGGTGTGGGACAGCACAGCCCTAGACTCCTCAGCCCCCAAGCTCCGCTCCACCCCGGGTCTACCTCCTAGGCAGTCTGAGCTCCCTCACATTTCCATGATCCCTTTACTGAGCCCAGGGTGGCGCTGTCGGATAAGTGTTGGGCTGCTAAACCACCAGGTCAGCTGTTGGAAACCACCAGCTGCTCCTAGGGAGACAGATGAGGCTGTCTGCTCTGGAGAAGAGTCCCGGTCTTGGAAATCCACAGAGGCAGTTTGACCCTGTCCTATAGGGTCGCTAGGAGTTGGGATTGGCTCCCTTGCAGGGAGTTTAGTTTAGTTTAGTTTATTTGGGTTTATTCTGCCTGGTCCACCTCACCCCTTCTCACCTCATCATCTGCCTCCCCCTTACTCCAGGTCTCCGCTCCCGTGTGGTCTCCTCCAGGAAGTACTCTGGGACCCCAGGCTGGGTCAGGCATCCCCTTAAACTCCACCAGCCAGCCTTGATCTTTCATTGTCTGGGGACCACACACACGTGTGTCTCGCCGTGGGCTGAGGGCAGGGCAGGGCAGGAGCTGTCTCCATCACCAGTGTGTCCCCAGCACCGCCCAGCACAAGCCTGGGCACATGGAGTGCCTGTCATGATGGGCCATTGCCACAGGAAGACTTCAGAGTGAACCAGCTCTGGGCCATCGCCACCCTGGGCCACCTCTTTATTGGTGGACTTGGCTTTGCGTCATCTGTGAAGTGGGGACCTGTAATGGCAATTGGAGGAGGTGGTGCGCGTTGAGTCTGCTGGGCACAGGGTGGCTCCCCAGGGCCACCGCCCACAGTCACCTAGTGAGAAGGAGAAGGTAGAGGTGAAGGGAGGATCCCTAAGAAGTTCCCTGTCACCCTGAGAAACTGGTTCAACTGGTGCTCCCAGTCCAGGGCGCACAGACAGTCTGAGAGTCTCTGGAAAGGGGGTACTGAGCCCCGCTGGCCTGGGCCTGATCCCTGAGGCCCCTGGGGCCCCCCACTTGGCAGGCCATTTCAGACATCCAGGACTCAGCCCCCCTGGTCCCCTCAGCCTCCAGCAGGCTTCCCCGTGGGATCCTCACAGGACATCAAAATGGAGCCTCCCAGGGGTGCCCGGGCCTGCTTCTCAAAGGGCCTCCTGCTCTCAGGTAAGGAGGGGACATCCCCCCACACCCCACACAGGGCGAGGGTGGGACCCAACCCTAGAGGTGTGTTTCCTGTCTTGGGAGAAGGAGGGAAAGTTGGGATTATCAGCATAGGGAGCAGGGATCAGGCAGTAGACTCCGAATCCATCCTCATTTTAATCTATGGAATTTTCTAGAATGTCAAGACACCTAGAGGGTAGGGATTTATTTGTGTTTGGTTCACTGGTAAATCCCCAGTGGCTAGAAATGCAGGGGATTGAGAAGCATGGTGTTGGTGTTGCTAAGCTCCTGGGGTCAGTTCTGACTCTCAGCAACCTGGTATACCGCAGAACAAAGCACTGCTCGGTCCTGGGCCAGCCTCACAACAGTTCCTACCTTTGAGCCCACTGTGGCAGCCACGGTATCGATCCATCTTCTCTGGGGCCTTCCTTTTGATCGCTGCCCCTGCACTTTACCAAGCGTGGTGTCCTTCTCCGGGGACGGGTTCCTCCTGATGACATGCCCTGAAGTCTCACCATCGTCACTTCTAAGGAGCACTCTGACTGTTCTTCTTCCAAGACTGATTTGTTTGGTCTCCGGCGGGTCCAGAGTACGTTCAGGATTCTTCACCAAAACTATCATTCAGAGGCAACCATTCCTCTCTGGTCCCCCTTAGACGGGGTCCAACATTCACACGCATATGAGGTTCCTGGAAAAACCAGGGCTTGGGTCTAGTGCCCCTTAGTCCTAAAAGTGATATCTTTGCTTTCTAACAAGAATATATCATATAGCTATATTTTAATAAACATGCTATATACAATCTCAAATTCACTGCTATTTCGTGGATTCTAGCTCATAGCAATTCTAACTCATAACCCTATCAGACAGGGCAGAACTGTCCCTGTGGGTTTCTGAGACTGTAACTCTTTATGGGAGTAGACAGCCTCGTCTACCTCCCGCAGAGAGGCTGGTGGTTTTGAACTGCTGACCTTGCTCTTATCAGCCCAATGTGTAACCCACCACACCACCAGGGCTCCTGCAATCTATAGTACAGACCCCCAAACCAAATCCATTGCCACTGAGTCGATTCTGACTCATAGTGACCCTATATAGGGGTCCAAGGCTATGCCTCTTTATAAAGCAGACAGCTTTCACTTTAACTTTCTGGTTACATGGACTAGGGGGTTTGAACTGCCAACCTTAGGGCAGCTGTCCAACGCTTACTCGACAGCACCACCAATCCAAGGGCACTTCAAAAAGTTCGTGGAAGACTTCGATTGTGTTTCAATTGCACTTTTCCACGGACTTTGCAAAGCCCCCTCGTGTATACGACTGGTTTTGTGAGATCGATCGCTGTTAGGCTCACCCAACATAGCCCTGATGCAGAGCTATGTGACTACATCGGCTGTTCGATCGACTGCACAAGATTGGTTTAAAGTGTGGAGGAGGGGAAAACAATTTTTTTAATTAAAAAACAAAAACAAAAATTTTTTTTTAATTTTTACAGTGTGGAAGAGATAATAATAATAATAATAATAAAGTGGCGAAGCGCACGGAAGTCCCTTTGAGGACTAACGTGTGCCTGATCCAAGCCACGGTCTTTTCAATCCTCTCCTATGCGAGTGAAAGTTGGACGCTGAATAAGGAAGACAAAAGAGAAGCAATGCATCTGAATGACGGTGCTGGCGAAGAATATTGAAGAGACCGCGGGTTGTTAAAGCACCAATCGATCTGAATGCTCCTTAGAACCGAGGAGGGTGAACGGTTATCTCCTGTGCTCTGGACATGTTCTCAGAAGACGGCAGTCTCTGGAAGAGGACATCGTGCTTGGTAAAGTAGAGGGCAGTGGAAAAGAGGAGGGCCCTCCACCAGATGGCTGGACACAGTGGCTTCATCAATGGACACACACAGAAGACCCATGGTGAGGATGCTGCAGGACCGTGTTTTGTTCTATTGCACCTAGGATCGCTATGGGTCAGGATGGACTCCATGGTACCAAACCACATGATGCTCCTAGAGCAGTGGTCCTCAACCTTCCTCATGCCACGACCCTTTCATACAGGTCCTCCTGTGGTGGTGACCCCCCCACCATAAAATCATTTTCGTTGCTACTTCATCACTGTCATATTGCTACTGTGATGAATCATCATGTAAGTATCTGATAGGCAGGATGTATGTCCATGGTTACAAATTGAACATCATGAAAGCACCGTGATTCATCACAAAAACAAAATGTCACTATATATTGTGCACTATTTATTTCTAATGACACATCAATGAAATGTTGTCTTGAAGCATGCTGTCGCACGGGTAACAGTCTTCATGCCAGTTCTCGTAGGTGGGCGTATCTGCCTGTGGGCGGACCCGCCTGGAGATGCAATAGAGGAGCGGCGTCTCGGTTCCTCAGACCGTGGGAAAGATGTGTTTCCGATGGTCTTAGGCCACCCCTGTGAAAGAAGGACCCTTCTACCCCCCAAAGGGGTCGCGACCCACAGGTTGAGAACTGCTGTTCTAGAGCAAGACCGACTAGGAACTTGGTCATATCCTTCCAAAAATCAGCCAATGAAAGTCCTGTGGATCACAAGAGAGTATTATCCAATCCAGAACCAGTTGAGAGGATGGTGGAGGACTGGGCAGTGCTTCACGCTGTTTGACATGCAGTCACCATGAGAATGGGCAGGGACAACTGACAACAAATATTGGTTGAATGAGTGAATTTGGTGAGTCCCAACAATTGATAAACAGACCACTTATCTAGTACGTCAGGGCAGTGACGCCCTGAGTCACAGTGGAATGGCTAATCTGTGGCCTGTGTTCTCCCTACCTGCACTCAGAGCAGACATCACCAATCAATGCCAGCACTGTTTCCTGAGAGCAGGGCTCAGAGGGCTTCTAGCAGTCCTTGCTTTACACCCCCAACCTCAGGCCTCCTCTGTCGCTCCCCACAGCCTCAATACTCTGGACGCTCCAGAGCTCCCAGGCGGACCTCTACATCCAGAAGGTTCCGGAAAAGCCTCTACAGAACGAGCACCTCCTCCTGTCCGTCCAGGGCATACCAGATGCCTTCCAGGATTTCAACTGGTACTATGGAGAGCGGACTGACGGTAGCACCATGCTGTTCTCCTACTTCCCAGGGCTGCAGCAGCCCCAGAGGAACGGCGACGCCAAGGGACAGCGTGACATAGTTGGCTTTGCCAATGGCTCCATGCTGCTGCGTCGCGCCCAGCCCAGCGACAGTGGCACCTACCAGGTGTTGGTCACCATCAAACCCTCCTGGACCATGCATGCCAACACCAGTGTCCAGGTGGTGGGTGAGTGCTGAGGGTTCTGAGAGGGCATGGGGGAGGGGAGGCTAACATGCCCTAAGCACCTACCGTAATGTGCCAGCTCATTGAAGGCCTCTTTCATCCACTCAGGGAGCCTGGTAGCATGGGTTGCATGTTGGGCTGCTAACCCAAAGGTAAGCAGTTCGGGCCCACCAGCTGCTCCATGAGAAAAAGATGAAGCTTGCTGCTCCTGTAAAGTGTGATGGCCCACAGGGGCAGTTCTACTCTGTCCTATAAGATCAATCAATGGCAGCGAGTTTGGTTTCTCATCCACTCAACGCTTATTAGTTGAGCACCTACTGTGGGTCCAGGCCCCACAGATAGACAATATTGTTTAATCTTCACATGCATTAATTATCTACTCCCTTATACCAGCGTGGAACATTCCGCAATTTGTATTCCTTTTGTTTTAAAGCATCGGTGGCAATCTCTTCAAAATCACAGCCTCCTTCCCACACCCTCTCCATGGGCATGTGCCTTTCTTTCAGGCCCAATCTCACCTCTGAACTTCATTTTGGAGTGAATGCTGACCTTTGGGGGAGCCCTATCCTCATGGGGATTGCTATTCACTTTGTGCTGTTGTGAGGTGCTATCAAGTTTGGACATTTAGTGACCCTGTGCACAACAGGACGAAACACCTCCTGGTCCTGCGCCACCCTCACTATTGTTCCTGTGCATGAGCCCATCGAGGCAGCCACTGTGTCCATCCACCTCATCAAAGGCCACCCTCTTTTTGCTGCCCTTCCACTTTACCAAGCATGATGTCCTTCCTGAGGAAGTGGTCTCTCCTGACAACATGTCCAAAGCCCATAAGATGCAATCAAGCCATCCTTGCCTCTAAGGAACATTCTGACCGCACTTCTTCCAAGATAGATTTCTTTGTTCTTTTGGCAGCACCGTAATTCAATACATTGATTCTTTTTTGGTCTTCCTTATTCAAGGGTCAACTTTCACATGCATAGGAGGTGATCGAAAATATCATGGCTTGGGTCAGGCGCACCTTTGTCCTCAAAGTCACCTTCCTGCTTTTTCACACTTGAAAGAGGTCGTGTGCAGATTTGCCAAATGCAAAGTGTCTATTGATCTCGTGACTGCCATTTCCACGAGCATTGGTTGTAGATCCAAGTAAGAGGAAATCCTTGACACCTTCAGTCTTTTCTCTATGTACCATGATGTCACCTATTGGTCCAGTTGTGAGGACTTGGGCTTGCTTTACGTTGAGTTGTCATTTAGACTGAAGGCTGTCATCCTTCATCTTCATCAGCAAGTGCCTCAAGCCCTCCTCACTTTCAGCAAGCAAGGTTGTGTCATCTGCACATCGCAGGTTGTGAGCTATTGCTCAGCTAAAAGTTATTCCCGGGGGTAAGTTCTCTTCCATGCTTGAAGGATGTTTAAGGGCCATAGTCTCAATGTTTCCACCCGTCTCAAGTAGACCAGTGAAGTCTAATTTTTTTCTTCCACAGTTTTATTGGCATAGAATTCATATATCCTACAATTCAATCGTCCAATCACATCAAGAAGAGTTGTGCAATCATCAGCACTGTCCGTTTTAGCACGTTGTCTTCATTCCGGTATTCATCGTTATTAGCTCCCCCGTTTGCCCCCAAGTCTAGTCTTTCTTGTGATTTTGTGTTTTGTTCTACCTTTTTCTCCCACTCTGTCTTTCATTTTCTACTGTGATCCTAATCAGAGCCAGTTAGTCATGGTAGCTGGGCACCGTGTAGTTGTTCTGGTCTCAGGCCGGGGGAGGCTGGGGATCATGTCGCCCCTCCACTCTTTGGACTGATTGTTTCCTTGACTCTTTGATCACCTTCACTTTTCCAGATTGGGAGAGACCAATCAGTTGTATCATAGATGGCCGCTCATAAGGGTTCTACTCACCAAAGTAGGATGTAGAACATTGTCTGTATTGATTAAATCATGCCAGCGGACCCTGACGTCTCCTTCCCATAGAGGCGTCCAGCCAGCAACCTTTTGGTGACTGTGTTAGTCTGGATAGGCTAGAGAAACAAATTCATAGAGACTCGTAGGTGAATAACAAAGAGGTTTATGTACAAGAGCAGTTAAATATTGAGGAAATATCCCAGTCCAGTCCAAAGCAAGTCCATAAGTCCTATATGAGCCCATATGTCTGATACCAATCTATAAAGTCCTCTTCTGACTCATGAAACACATGCAATGATGCCAAATGCAGGAAGATCACAGGCCAGTGGGATGGAAGTCTTTTGGGTCCAGTGGCAGCGTAAGCATCTCAGCGCTGGCAGGGATCTCCACATGGCTTCTCCAGCACCCAAGGCTGCATCAGGGTAGGTCCAGCTCAGGACACTAGCGTAGTTTCATGTGTCTTGTCAATAGAGCGTTGTCTCAGGAAGTGAGCTGAGAGAGAAATGTCTCCTGTCTCCAAGGAGGAAAAACAGGAATTCCCAGAGTCCTTAGGGGAAGACCATGCCCACACAGAGGCCTCATTGGTTATATCTGCACCCCTTCACTCATAATCCTCTCAAATGGGCACCAAATTATGTAACTACCACAGTGACCTTGTATATTGCCAGGCCTTTCTTCTGAGGCTCCTGTGGGTGGATCGAACTGCCAACTTCTCAGTGAACAGCCACACACTGAACACTTTGCCCCACCTGGGGACTCCTTGGTAGCCCCCTAGGTACTCATTAAACACTTGGATATTTGCCAACAACATCTTCTATCTGTGGGGCCTTGGCAATGCGTGAGCTGAGCATCCCGCTGACCTCTGACCTCACTCATTTAAGCCCCACAAGAACCTCATTACAAAAAAAACCTGGTGATGTCAGAGCTCCAACTTCACGGGGAGGAGAGCGAATCAATATCCGCAACGACCCAAGGTGAATTCCTAAGAGGTGAAGGTCAGACATCCCTCCACTGGTTCTGACACTAACCGTCCTCTCTCCCACCACATGCTCCACTTCTCTGCTGGGTTCAGCCTTCCATTGCCATGGCTATACAACACCATGGACCATACTCACAGCTGTAGCAGTTCATGAGGAAGTAACAGGATCCGCTTGGAAGGGACAGGCACCACTCAAGCAAGACACAGGATGTGGTTCTTTGATGGAGACAGCTGCTTCTTGGCCAGGCCGGCAGATAGGCCTCTGCCACTGACCTGCACATGCCTGGCAATTGCTACAAAGCTCTTTAGACACCCCAATCCTCCTGCCTAAAGGCACTCAGCTCAGCCCCTGTAACTGCCTTGCTCTGAGGACTGGGAACCCCATCGTGTCATCTCATGTGCATCTGCTGGCCCATCTCATTTGGTGGGAGTTTCAAGACTGCGGCTAGAAGGGTCATGTTAAAGCAATTCACGACACCATTCCTGTGGTAGCAACCCTTCCCATTTTACAGAAGGGAAAACAAGGCGGAGAGGCTGGACTACAGTGGACCCTCGTTTATCGCGGTTAATCGGTTCTAGACCCTACCGTGATAAATGAAATTCCGCGAAGTAGGATTCCTTAT